ATGAAACAATTCTTTAATTCTTTTAAGCCAAAAGGGTAAAAAAGACCAAAATATCATACAGAAGGTGGGCAAATACCCTACACAATATTAAGAAATATTATAATAATCCTTAAGCATATGAATGCTTAATTCATTTGTAATAAGAAAAATACAAATGAAAACTGCACTTAGATAACATTTCTTACCTACTAGACTGGCAAAAATTCAAAAGCTGACAGTATACTCTTTTGGTGAGGCTCTGGGTAACAGGCACTCATATACTACTGGCAGGAATGCAAAACAGTACAACCCCACAGAGAGAAGTATTTGGCAATATCTAACAAACTGATATGCATTTATCCTGAAGATTTGCTTCCAACAATACAAAGATATACATATGCAAAACTTTTAATTCTAAAAATCATTATAATTTAGTAAAATATTGGAAATTACTTAAATATCCAAGTAGGACACTGCAAAAAAAAATCATGGTATACACAATGGACTACTATGTGATATCTATAATGAAAGTTACTTTGGTTTATGTGTATTATTTTCTCAAACAGTTACTAAGTTGTTAGGCAATAAATACTCATTAAGTTATCTGGGCCTAACCATTCAATAAATTAAACTGTTAGTGTTTCTTTCTTTTCTTTTGCCCCCCACCTCCCATTTTAGGGATTGAACCCAGAGGTACTCTATTACTGAGCTACATCCCTAGCCCTTTTTAATTTTAATTTTTATTTTAAGACAGGGTCTTGCCAAATTGCTTAAGGTCTTGCTAAATTGCCTAGGCTGGCCTTGAATTAGCAATCCTCCTGCCTAAGCCTCCTAAATCACTGGGATTACAGGCATGTGTGCCTGGTGGGAATTTTTGATAAAGGCCTGTGAGATCCTTTAAGAGAGAAGTTGTGTCTGTGTAGTTATGAGATTATTATGAACTGAGGTCAACAAAATTTACAGTATGCTAATGAAGGTACATGCCAGGACACAATAGAAGCAAGAAGCCCAGTCTCAAAGTTGTTTTTAATTGTCTTCTGTTTTGCTTTGTTTGTGGGATGGGGTCCAGATAAAGGAACCTAATCAAAATACAAATTTTGGAGAGGTGTAATCTAACTGGAGTCTGAAGAACTAGCAGGAGTATAATAGACTGGGGGAAGGAATGACTTTCAGGAAAAGAAAATAAGAGAATAAGTAAACACTAGCTCTCCAGAAGCTCAGTATTGCTAGAACTGAATATCATGGAAGGAGAGAGGAGGCTAGAGAGCTAGTCAGGTAAGGAGTACAACTGGAAGGTTTTGTATACATGATTGAGGATAAAAGGACTTTTATTAATGGGCAAACAAGAAGCCACAAAAGAATTTTAAGCAAGAAAGTGCCATGATTATTCTAACCAAGTGCACAAAAAGAGATTAGAAGGTAGTCAATCACAGGCTAGAGGACAGCTGCAGTAATCTAGAATAAATCTAGACAGGGTGACTATACTAAAGCATTTGCCAGTCAGTGTGGCAACCTTCATTTTCAATGGATTACTACGCTAGCTAATGGATTGCATAAAAAGACAGATTCTGTTGCGTAGATGGCCACAATTACAATCTTTGTGGAAACTGGTGATCTTTGCTCCATCTTAAGAATGCATCTAGGAGTTAAAAGTCATTTCATAATCTTGTTGAGTTTTGTTGTTCAAAATGGCATTGTCAAACCCTGATACTTAGTTTCAAATGTGAGTTTAGCAATTGAAATTGGATCCCAGACATTGAATTTATGTGTGATAAATATTTCGTCTACTGCATCTAATACAGGACACTCGTTGTGAAAGTCTTTGAGAGAAGTGTCATAATATTTTATGGAAGCTTACTTTTCTTGATGTGTACAGGCTATTCTCTTGACTTTGAGGAAATAAGCATTTGCCTTCACATATAATTAAATCAAAGTCTCAAAGTTGTTCTAAAATTTACTCTACAGCTTTTAAAAACTCAGTTTTTATTAAAAAATTATATATACACCAAATCTTTTTGAATGCAATAAAGGTAGTAAAAAGGTGTCTAAGAAAAAAAAATAGCTGTTACTTATGGGAGCTAGGTAATGAACAAGATTTTTTTACTTAGAGCTTTATCTTCTTTTTTTAAACCAAAAAATGAACACATACTTCAAATTAACTCCATTTGACAATGCATTTATTTTAAAAATACTAGGATTGAAAAGAGTGAAGAGAATTCCACTAGCACTGAATAACAATTGGACCCTTAAAACAACTCTAAAACCCTTAGGCCTCCATACTAATCTCAAAGAGAAAATAACTTATAGTCTCAAGTGATAAAAAACAGACATAGCGCACCTCTCCCCCCCCCCTTAATCATTCTTCCTTCTGTCTCATAACTTCTCCCCATCTCCATTAGTGGAAGAAAGAACCAGAAAACAATATGATGTCAAGGAAATGTCACAACAAACAGGTGTATGGTTCTCTCCTCAAACAAGAACTGTTYAGATACATCAGAGGAAATAAGCAGTAATCAAAAACCAGAGCTGAGTTCCTAATACTCTATCAGAACACCAAGAAGAACAATGCCCAGAYATTTTTCATCATGGCACACAAACTGTACATGTGGGCATAATAACACTGTATTTATAGGTATACTGGAGACAGAGAACTGTTATTATCAAGAGGGTTGTTGAATTAAAGAAGGAAAATCTAAACTCCAAAAAGTGGTAATGCTGCTGCGATAAGAAATTGCAGGCTTCTCTCTCTGTATTGTGAGAATTAAAACATTTTATAAAACAATAAAATTATTACCCATCTCTCCCTCTCTCTTTAAAAATCACAATCTTTTCCCTAATAATATTCACAGCTTTTATTCCAGTATTTTACAAGTGATTTTCCTTGTCACTCATTTACAAAAGGACACAAGTGCAACACTGATAGGCCCACACGKAAAAAGTGATACTGGTTCATTCCCTCATGTTCTGTAGAAACTGAGCTTGGAAAACCAGTGGAAGACCATCAACGATACTTGGAGAGGAAAGACAGTGGCACCTGGATCCTATTTGGATCTCCCTGAAGTAAAAATAATCCATCTGTAGAAAAAAAATCTTCCCTCATAAATGATAGACAAGATTCTTTCCTATAATTATCGTGGTGTTTTTTTTTTCCCTGAAAGCCACGCCAAAAAAAAAAAAAATGCTGTAATGAAGTACTGCTTCAAAATAAATGATACAGATGACTGCACACTCAGCAGACACTAGAGAACAGCATCTGGATCTCAGAGCAGAAATGTGAAAGTGGCTATTGGTAAATCATATCAAGGTCATATCAGGATGTCAGAGGATTTCACGTATCCATGGGAAGAATGAGCCACTATAAGCAATTTTGTGATGCATAACAGTTTCCAAACAATATTAACTCCCGATTTCCTCTCTTTGATTAAAACAGAGTATGGATATTGACTCCACATATAAATTAACAGCCTACAGTCAGGAAATCTCTTCCTGCTAACCTGGATAGGCCCAAGCAGTAAGCATTTAACACTACTAGAATACAAGTTATATTGCCCAATCAAAATCCCCCAAATATAACTGAACCTTTCAGGAAAGGATTAAGTATTGAAAAGCAAAAAATTCTTTCTGAATTGTTTTTGAATAAAGAATATACTGACAAAGCAAAATCTGTATGTACCAAAAACCTGAAATGAACAAAAGAAAACAAAAAATCCTAACCTAACAAAATAAATGACATCTGGAAGGTAACTGTGAGATCACCTAGGCATTCAATCACTCAGTGCAGAAATGTGTGAAAATCTTTGGTGTTCTAGGCACACTGCATGGAAACACAGTGATGAGTAAGACATGGCTCCTGCCCTGAAAAATTCAAGGTCTAAAAACAACATTTTAAGAGTCACAAGAGTCATTTCATAATAACTTACTGAGACAAAAACATAAGCTAATAAGATACATTTAAATACATTAAAAGACAAAAGTTAAAAGGAATGCCTTCCATCATGAAGAGTTTACTCATGAAATTTTTATCCAATTTTTGGAACATAAAGTTGTAATTTATTTCCAGGAAAGTAATAACTTATGACATGTGTTTTAGAAAGGTTTTTCCAGACACACATCAAACTATTTGTAAATTAGGTGCTTTTCAGTTTGACAGGTAGGGCGTGGCACTGGAATTCTCACACAGCTTCAATGACACTTGGATGAGCTCTCACAGGTCTGGACATTCAGGTTTCCAAGCAAAGGCCAGTTAACTCTCTAATTCCCCCTAAACCTTGAAACAACACTACCACCTCTGAGCGCTGTCACCCCCGCCCACTCTCTCTCACACACACACACACCTAGGCAAAAGCACACAAATCTCATCTTCCACTTCTGGAAATCTTTCAGGAACGATGCACATAAGGAACATCCCTCACCCAAAATGCCTACATTCTTTCCCTCCTTTTAGAGGCTAGGTTATCCTAATATAGATAGGCTACAGCTATGCAACACCCCGAGGCCAGCTATTCCATTCAGAAAGGAGCATCTAACGACTTCAGTCTAAAAAAACCATTCCTTCAACTGGCACAAAACCCTGGCCGAGATGCTTTAAAAACAACTGCTCTAGTACGGACAAGGAGTGGAAAGAAAGGGAAGGAGAAAAGAGGTGGAGTGAGGTGCGGGGACTGCGGCGGCAGCGATGAGTCCCCTCAGGTCGCGGGCACCGCCCGGGAGGGGACTTCAGCCACGGACCAGAGATGCGGGGTGACCTTCCGAAGAGGCCAACTCTGAGCCGCTTCCCGGCTCAGGGGACCTCGCCACAGCCTCCTAGTCTCAGGGGCGCACTCGACAGCACATCCGTGAACGCGGAGTCCGGGATTCCAGCCGGAGCTCGCCCCGCACTCGTCCCAGAGCAGAACACAGATGAGCAATCTCGGCAGCTGAACGCTACGCCTGGGCCTCAGCCCTCCGCCGCCGGACACACCCCCGCCGCCGCCACGGCGGCCCCAGCCCCACCCGGGGCGGCCCGGGCGGGCATCGCTCACCTGCACCGCGAGCCGGTCCGCCGCCCCGCCGGTTCCCGAAGCCGCGGGTGCGCTAGCCCTTCTGGCTGGAGGGTTCTCGGCCCTTGTTGTCTGGGAAGCTCCACGCCGGGAGCGGCAGAAGGAAGAGTCGGACGAGCGGCGGCAGAGCTCGGGCGGCTGGTGGAGGAGGAGGACTCCGGCGCTCCGCTCTGGGGAGATCCACCCTCCTCCTGGCCGCTCTGCAGCAGCAGCCGCAGATCACTTCCGGGGCGCTGGGGAGCGGGGCGGAGCCGGAGGGGGAGCGACTTCCTGTCCGCGGGCGCAGAGGAGGGTAATCGCTGGCCAGGGACGAAGAACAATGGCACGGAGGGTTCAGGCTAGCTTGCCTCCGCCCTCTGCTTGCTGAGGGCGGTCTGGCTTTCTTTGGGGCGGCTCCGCCCTCGGATCTCTGCGCCCGACGAGGTGAAGTCACCTCCCGGGGGTCCGGGAGTGGCCGCGGCCCTCGCGGAGTTCCCGGATCTCGGCGCCGAGATGTCCTTGTCTCTTTTCTGGGGACCAGGAAGAGGTTCTCGGGGAGAGTAGGGAGGCCGCCATCTTGCTTCTTGGGGGCAGCCCCTTCTCCCCAGGCTTATTAGGGTAGAGGCTGCTGTGTTCTGTGGCCGGCATTTTCCAGAGTGAATCCAGGGACTTTCCTTGTCGCAGGCCGACTTCTAGGAGGTGGGTTAGTCATCTGCGGTGGAAGGAGGATCTCGGTGGCTGCCATGGGCCTCATATTTAACTGCTGACCTCTAGAAAACTGACCTCCGCGAAGGGTCTGTGATTCCTTTCAAACTGGGCTTGGGTCCTCTTCGACACTTTAAGTGTGGTGTCAGTAGGCTGTGAGATACTCCTGTGGCTTCACGACAGCAACTTAGTATCTTAAATTAGAAGTTTCACCAAATCGGTTGAAATTTACGTTCTTCCACAGGTTCGAAATAGATCTTTAGATGCCCAACAGATCTTATCTGTTGACTTTATTTGTTCTCTTATCCCTTCTCTCCCCTCTCCAAATTTAGTAATAACTACATGCTTGGCATTTACCCATTCAGGGAATGCCTAGGTAAGTGGGCATGACAGAYATGAAAGCAAATAATGATGTTTGGAACTGTGGTATATCAAGGTATATAGAGGAGAGAACCTACTAACTCTAACTTAAACTTTTAAAGATAAATAGGCAGTTTTCCAGCATAAATAGAGGAGATAGCAAATCTTAATAAAAGACATGCAGCACAGGGTCAAATAATTGAGGAGGCTGAGTGACAAGTCCCAATGTTCAAGCCTGGGTCGCTGAAAAAGAAGCAGACAAGCCAAATCATGAATCTTTTTTTTTTTTTTTTAATATATCCTTGTGACACAATGCGGGAGGAATGACCCTGGAAAGATTTACAATTTAAGTTATTCTTTTATTGGTGTAGGGTAAACAGAGAGTCTCTAGACCAGAATAGGGACCCTGTGACTGGTGATCAACATCCAAAGGAGATGGAGTCCTAAAATATGTAGGAGATCATATCAGTTGATTGCTGTGAGCAGCTAGAGGTTGAGAATGGAAGTGGCAAGGAAAATAACCTTGTTTTGCTCTCATGGAAGGGCAGGATAATGGTGTATTTCACCAAATGAGATAAGGATGAGTTGCAGGGACACTTTTCTTTTTTTGCATAAAATGAAAAATGAGTTCAGTTTTGGGCTTTGTGAGTCTGAAGTAAGACCTGGGGTTTTCTAGTGGTGGTTACTATATGGGTTTAGAGCTCTGGGGAGGTTGGTTGAAGCTAGAAACACTACAGGCTTATATTACCACATTCAAGCAGACTGCAGTCTCACTTCATTGAGCACAGTTTCAAAACCACTCCCCCCTTCCCTGTCTTGTCTTGGGAAATTTTATGAAATACTCTATTTAAAAAAACAAAACATCCCCATGTGGTGATACATGTCCATCCAATGCTTAGACCATTAATCTGTGCTTAATGGCCTAAGAACCATAAAAGGTCAGGTGTACCAGAAACTGAATATGACAGTGCTAACTAGTATAGCATCATAAACTCATAAGGTGAAATATTGTCTATGTTGATGTTTTAATAAAAACATTTTAAATCTRCTGGGCACAATGCTACTGGTCTGTAATCCCAGCTGTTTGGGAGGCTGGGGAAGGAGGATTGTAAATTTGAAGCCATCTTGGGCAACTTAGCAAGACCCCATCTAAAAATAAAATAAAAAGGGCTGGGGATATAGCTCAATGGTAGAGTGCTTAAGCAGGGCCCCTACATTCATCTCAAGTATTTAAATAAATAAGTAAATTTTAAATAGTTGACAATAGCTTAAACTAGCCGCAGACCAAGGGTTGAGGATGATGGCTGCACCAATATCTGCTGAAGGGAAGAACTAGAAGGAGGATGACTTCAAGAGGGAGCAATAGGAACACTATGAAAGACAACCTCCAATTTATTAGTCTGTCTCAGCTGCTTCTTGGTTGTTCATAGCTATGCTAACCTAGCATAATGCAGTCAGAAATAGAATAGTTCATTTTGAGTAGAGGCTTCTGAAAGCTACAAGTAATGAAGGCACTATAAATAATAGCTATAGCAGCAAACCAAAGACTATTAGTTTTGAATTCTATATTCCTGTAAAGCAGTATTTTCCAACATACCAAGTAAGAAATCCATTCAGTTACTTTTAGTTCTTAGATGATTTAAATACATTATTCTCAATTTTCCTAAAAGAAAAATACATTTAGGTATATTAAACAACTATATAGGGCTGGGGTTATGGCTCAGTCGTAGAGCGCTTGTTTCACATGTGTGAAACACTGGGTTTGATTGTCAGCACCGCATATAAATAAATGAATAAAATAAAGGTCCATCGGCAACTAAAAATATATATTTAAAAAAACAACGATATAATAGATAATATGCTGAACAAAAATCAGAACAATTAACTTGAGTCCTTTTTTATTAGTTGTTCACCTTATGACCTTAGCTAAAGCATTTAACCTTTCTATGCCGTAGTTTCTCTGACTATAAAATAAAGATAATAACAACTTTCTACCAATCTGCCTCTCAGAGATATTATAAGAAGTAACAATGCTATAAGAGTTCTTTGAGGTACTTAGATGAAAGCAGAAGTATAAGTACATGTTAACAATTGGCATAAAAAACAATAGAACTCATGAACATTTCTAAATTTGCTGCCTAGGCAACTCCAAAGAACATGATAAATCCGGATTTATAATAGGCTTAGAATTCTTGTGAATTTACTTATTATTATTTATGATCAAACCTTAGTAACACATATATTTGCCAAAGCAAAAAAACGGAAATTTTTACTAACCACAGTTACTGTGTTCACTGCTAGTCATAGCTAATATATGCCTTGGGAAAAAACATGGTATGTATGGTGGTTTTGTCAGAATCAGGTTTCAGAGTTAATGATTAGTCTGTAACATTACTCWTGCTTCTATAGAATAAAATTGAAATGCAGGTATATGTTTATTTGAAACATTGAGATGAATGTACGTGTGAGCCTTTCATCATTTGCATCACTGGCTGATGAGAAATACATAGTGAAATATATAGTCCTGTGTGATGTTGTCCAGTGTCCATCCTGAAAGTAGATGACATTTTCTTTTTCTTTTCTTTTTTTTTAGTAGATTGGTGGCTTCAGGTTTTCTTTTTTGAAAGATGCATGTATATATGTATATGTACATATACATGTATGTATATATGTATATTTATGTATATAAATATGATGTATGCATATTTGTTTTTATATACAGGATTACCATATGCCACTTCATGAAAATATTATATGAAAGTACATTACCTGTAAATCTAGTAACAATAACAATAGYCTCATAGATCTATTTCGGGCCAGATAAGGTCCCCCAAAGTTGTTGGTTAATAGTAATTTGTCACCACTGGTGAAAAAAGTTATAGTACATGTTCAATTATTAGAATTTTGAACACTATCTGTAAGACCCATGCTGCCTCAACTTTGTGTTATTTATTTTGTTTTCACAACCGTTCCATACTTTCACTCATCTGTTATTACCTCTTTACTATTTTGTACTTTTTACCATGGTCTTCAGATAACAGTTCTACCAGAACATACTTATAGTATAGGCATTTCTGGCTAATTATTGTTGATTACTTATATAATCTCTAAAATTCAGTCAAACAATATTTTGTAATCTTAAAGTACAATTCTTATGTTTAAGGCTGTGGTTACCAGCCTTTGTTTTATTTGTCTTTGTATGTCTCATGGTATGAGACTTCGTACTCCAAAAATATTTTTAGGAATGAATAAAAAGTATATTGTGATGTTTAGCTGAATAAAAAAATAATAAAGCTATAAATCACCTTAGACACTTTTAGGGGCATGTAGGAGGATATGTGTATGAATTTTATACACATTCATGTTTTGTTTTATACTTTAAATTGGTGGGACAATTGAGAAATGAAGGAAGGAGAATTAATTTTCTSTTTATTGAATATTTACTGTATTTCAGACACTGTACCAACCATCTTACAAAAGAATGAATGACTATTTAGGTCCCATAAATTTGGTTTGAATCTTGAGAGTCACAGAAAATAGTATTAATACTAATAAGTAGGACATTTGAACAAATCCTATTACTTCTGTCTTTTTTATACTTATACTCTATTTTATTATAATAATTGAAAAATGTAATCAAACAATTTTTGAAATATACCTATCTCTTCATCCCTTATTCTTTTTATGATACAAAGCCATCATTCAATCTCTGTTTTGGATCTTGACTACTCTTGTCTATTTGGGGTTCTTGCTACATCAGTTATTCTCTTTCTGCTGTCAGCTTCTCACTCTTAACTGGTTTCTTGCTATTAGCATTCTCATAAGTTTAATAAGAATTTTAAATGTTTAAAATGTCTTCCTTATGCATAACCTCCCTCTAGCTTCTTTTCAAATCCTCATTCTTTGTTGTAAAAGAAACTTTCTGAGAGAATTTTCTATGCTTGCTATTTCTACTTTCTCAATTCTACTTTACTCTTAAACCTTTTATAATCAGGCTTTTACCCCAACACTGCTCTGAAACTATACTTGATAAAGTCACCAACATCATCCCTATTATAAGATGCCTCTTAGTTCTTAATGTCTTAATAGTATTTGAAGCTGCTTATTGTTCTTCGCTTTTTTGAAACAATCTCTTCTCTTGTTTTCTGTAATACCATACTTCACTGTTTATTTTCTTTCACTGTCCTTTGA